GGGTAAGGGTGAAATCACACCTTATGGGTATAGTGTACACTATCTGGGTGATGGGCACTCTAACAACTTTGACTTAAGTAGTACAAAATCAAGCCATGTAACCAAAACATTTGTACCCCCTTAATATCCTGAAATAACAAAAGAGAAATCCCCAACAGTAGACCAGTGAGATGAAGTGTCTACAGCCATGTGATCCCTGAAGGCTAGCTACAACTCCAACCTTTCTTCTCCTAAACAAGAAAGCACATCAAAGTGAAAGCAATAGCAAGGTTGTTATTTAAAAACAAGCAAGCAAACAAACAATCCCTGACATTCATTGAATTCTTACAATTGTACCAGGCACAGATGTTAAAATTAAATTACATGTATGACAATTTCATGTTCACAAAAATCGTATGAGATAGATGCTTTCATTATCACTGTTATAGGTTGAATTGTGTTTGTCTCCCCCTCCTCCAAAAGATCTGTTGCAATCCTAAGTCCTGCTACCAAATAAGAATGTGACCTTATTTGGAAATAAGGTCTTTTCAGAGATAACCAAGTTGAAATAAAGTCATTAGGATGGGCCTTAATCCAATATGACTGGTGTCCTTAAAAAAAGGGAAAATTTTTATAAAAAAGACATACACAAAGGGAAGATGATGTGAAGACAGAGACAGAGATTGGAATAACATAGCTGCAAGCCAAGGGATGCCAAGGATTGCTGGCCACCACTAGGAAGGATCCTCCCCAGAGACTCCTCAGATCCTCCTCAGAGACCCTGCTGACACCTTGACTTCGCACTTGTAGCCTCCACAACTGTGAGACAATACATTTCTGTTGTTGGAAGCCACCCAGTTTGTGGTACTTTGTTACTGCAGCCCTCGAAGATGAATACAATCAACATCTTACAGATGAGGGGACGAAGGTGCAGAGAGGCTGAGCACCTTGCCCAGACTGACACGGTTGGTAAGCAATGGCACCTTGGCCTGAGCTTGGGAAGTCTAACTGGAGAGGAACACTCTATTCTAATCAAATTTATACTTTTAAAAATCATTTGCAAATTTCAGTTAGCTATTATTCAGGCAAATTATTTGTGTCAGTTCATGACCAAAGTCTCTGAACACTCTGCTTTGACCTCAGCCCTCTGTCAAAGGGCAGAGCACGGAGTGTTCGGAGCAGGGCGACCCCGACAAACTGGCGCGGGCGTGGCCGTGGGAGCCCATGGAGCCAAAGCAAACTCTGCCGCGCAGCTGCTCCGAGCCAGGGGCCAACTGAGGGGCTTCCTGGTCCTCCCTGAAACATCTGAGTGTGGCCAGCACCCAGGGGGTACGAACTTCAAAGCAACTGAAGCCTTCCCCACAGCCACTCATTTTTGATCAGCAGGAGCCACAATCCAGGAATGTGGGTTGTTTAAATTATTATTATTATTTTTAACTTAAGAAGGGGTCAGGTGAAGTTCGAGGGCTAAAGCAACTTGCAGTAACTGCCTTTCCAGATCCCTTTTGTACCCAGATGCCCACTAAACAGAAATATTTTCTGAAGGGCACAGTGCTTTTTAGATAGTTCAGAAAGAGGAGGTGATGGGATAAAGGAAGGGCTGACTGAGCATGTGACCCAGGGCCTGCGCTGGTCTGTGTGCCACCTTTATGGGGTCCCTCCTGGAAGATGCATCCCTGCGAACAAACCTTGTGGTGAGTGGAGCCCAGGCTGAATGGCGGCCTCCACCTGCAGCTGAGCGACAAGCAAAGACGTGCTGGAGATGGACATCAGAGTCCAAAACAGAATTTGGTTAAACCAAGAGTTAAGTGACTAAGAGGAATTGGATGAGGACACAGTTATGTCTGGGCAGAGGAAGTGTTTGGGCGGATATTTCTCTCCAATTATATCATTGAAGTCAGGAATATTTTAATGCTGTCGCCAGAATGGATCATACTATATTGGATCATACAGGTTGGTGTCTTCTCCCATGAGTCCAAGGTGGAAGGAAGGATGCCTTATGTGACTCCAACCTCCAGTGTTTCTGGGTACAGTGTAGATGTTCAGTAAGCACTTATTGCCTGGGTGATTTTCCTGGATGAGCCTGGCATGGGCTTTGTGATCCCAATCAGGATCAGAGAAAAAGGAGAAAAAGTCTCTTTGCTGGAAGAATGACCAACAGGCCTTCATCATGATGATGATTCTTGAATGGAAGAAATACAACCCTAACCCCCAAATGACCGTAAACAAAATGTGTGCCTCTGGACACAACTTGGAATGTCAAGGAAGAGAAGCAAAGTGGTTAATGTTTGCCTAATGTAGAGACAAAGGGGAGATGTATCCAACAGTTAAAAGTGTTAGACATTGAGGCAGACTGAGGGAAATACTAATTTTCTTAATTTTAAACATCTCAGACATTAGGCACTGATAAACCTAGGTTTATCATATACTAGTGAAAACCAGCTTTATTTCATAATCCCAAGTATTTAAAGAATATCTCAACCTTAACATCTGAATACCTTGTTTAAAAGAAATCCCCAGAAACATCAGCAGGTCTCCAAAGAAAACTTGCAAAACTGCACCCTATGTATTTTCTGACCTCTTTTCAAAGTTTAATTCTGAGGCTCCATATCGCGCCATGTACATTAACACTTTTACCTACTTTGCTGCTAAGAAATAGACCTTGAAATACCAATCCACAGTGAAATTTCCAGAGGCAAACAGACTCACCTGGGAGTAAGATCTGCAGTGAGGACACTTATTTCTAAAATGCAGATTGCAAAGGCAAAGCCCCAGCCGGCTGACATGCTGTTCCTTGCTGGGCAGCTCCAAGTGAGGTGGCCTGGCAAGTCCTGTAAGGCATTTATTTGCAAAGGGCCAGAGGACAGGGAACAGTTATTGTTTGTCTGTGCTCAGGGCTTTTGTTCATTTGGGCTGCCTGGGTAGGGAAGTCCAACCAAAGGAGAGTCATTTTGTAATTCTTGGCCTCCTGTTTTCTCGTATTGACAAGTACACGTGAGCAATGAGCCTGTGGATGCTAGAGTGGCTAAGATTAGCCACAGTGCTGTGTAAAAACAAACAAACAAACAAAGAACACCCAGCAGTTCTCATCTTGAAGGACTCTGGGAGGGAGGGTGAGGCAGTGTGTAATTTTGGGGAAAAAAAAAAAAACAACAAAAAACCTGTGGATGATTTTCAAGGAGGCATAAACTCAGAATTAGTAAAGAAGTGCACTTGTTGAAAGGAAGGCACAGACACAGATGTTCCAACCTTTTTTTTTTTCAATCTGAAAATGAGCTATGTGGGTTATTTCCACATGGGCAAGATAAAGCATAAAATGTATTTACAGACCTGGCTTTCATTATAGGCATAGTGGAGCATTTGGAAGAATGAGGTACACTCCTGGAGGAGTTAAGAGTAGTCCCCAAAAGAATATGGTCTCCTTCTCTCAGAATCACACATATCAGCAAGATAGATTCTGAGATGGGAAAATTTGTTCCTACTCATGAAAAAGAATTTTCCCCTCACATTTTCATGCTCACCAGCATTTGTGGGAAGAGTGATGTGTTTTGGGAGCAGTGGAGAATGTGGACTTTGCAGCCACTCTTACAGCACTGGTTGCCCGATAGAGTGACCTGGGGACCCTTGAAAATGGTAGTGATGCCTGCCCTCCACATTAATTGGCCTAGGATGAGACCCTGCATCTGGGATTTTAAAAGCTTCTCTGGTCATTCTAATGTGTGGCCAATGTTGAGATGGAGAATAGCCACCTTATGAAGAAAGACATCAGATAGAGTCTCATAGGCAATATATCAGTGATATTTTTTTAAAAAATCTCCAGAATGGGAGAAAAAAATCTCCCAACACAGTTTTTAGTGGGCTTTCCTAAGTATTATTATTACCTATAGGCAAATTTCAAACATTAACATATACCAAGACAGATCAGATAGGGGGCGGGATGAAGGGAAGACAGAATATGCAGCTAGTTTCTCCAGTGCAGCCTTACCTTTTCCACAGATGGTACCACCTGGGGTAGAAATTATCTACTTTCACCCCCTTTCTTGGCCCCTGTCTTTTTTATGCAGAGAGCTTGAGGTCTTTAATGGGACTAATCTCACCTGTTCCTGAGCTTGCTATGGAGACACGTGATGTGGTCCATGTGCAGGGCATGCAGAATTGCCATGTAATGAGATGATTTGAGTAGATGTCACACACTTGTAGATGTGTAAATAAATGTCTACACCCAAAGGACACTTCCTGTGAGTCTTAGCCAGTGACAGGGGGCTGTTTCTGGCTTCAGTAGAAATCCGTCAGATGTGATGTAGCAAAGTTGAGGACTCTCCTGTGGCCTCTCTGGACCCTGCTGGGATATCTGTAGAAATAAGGATGTGAAAACAGTTAGAAGAGGATGGGGTTTATGCTAACTAGGCTTGGTGCTAATTGGTTAGACTTTGTGATAACTGTACCTGATAAGTAGATGTGACTAGAGGTTGAAAAATAACTTACCTCCTTGGAGACTAACTCAATGGAAGGGGGAGGGGGGAGTGAGGATTTCTTGGCTGACTGGTTTGAATAGGGGGCTGTTCTCAGTTTCTCAGTTGTATTTACTTTATCACTGTGGTTCAGGCTAAATGTAATGTAGCACAGTAATGGGAGCAGTAAAGTATAATAATAATATTAATATATTAATTAGATATTAGTAATATATAATAAATAATGTCTAAAATATATAAGTAATACAATGTGCCTTACATTAGTGCCTTTAACTCTTCCTTGCCATTAACATCTATCATGTATCTGACATGTTTTGAAATGGGGCTGACATTTCTGTGTATATCTGGGAGAAATGAAGCATCATGATGCATTAGACTAGAGAAGTGAAAATAACATTTTTTATTTGTATAACACCTAATGGTTTCCAAAAAAGAATGGATCGACGTTTATTGAACTTCTACAATGTGCCAGGCCATCTCTCTATATACGATCTCATCGAACCCTCAAAATAACCCATTTTATAGCTGAGTAAACTAAGATACACTGAGATTACATCATTTGTCCAGCATCCACCCCGGGCGAGTAACTGGAATTTGAACTTGCTATGTCTGGTCCTATACCTCAGGCTTTTCCTACCACACTATCAGCACTGTTGTTGTCATTGTGTTAATTATGTCATGTTGCTTATAAGGTACTTTACTATAAAACTTCTTACTGAATCCTCTCAACTCTGTGAAAGGGAAGCTTTTAGTCTAGTTTCACAGTTGAGGCTCAAAGAAATACACCCAAGGCTACATATACAGAAGTGGGATTTGAACAAACTGTGTCTTTAAACTCTAATTCCAGGGTTTTCCACTCTGCTGTGGGTTCTCAAAGTTTTCACCATACAGTGGCCTTTTTTTTTTTTCACATTGGTTTCAGTTTGCTTTGGGAATTTCGTGGTGATGAATTATTATTTTTTGCATAATAATACTTTTCCCAGCTTTTAAGGCAGACATATACATATGTATATTAGAATTCTGATCAGCAGGCAGAAACACTTAATTTTTACTGAGATGATATAAATAAATATGTTGAGGATCATTGCCATTTGGCTCTTTTAAAGTGATGGAAATGGTTTTTTGAAAGTCCCTTATTGTTAAGTTCATGGACTCCCCTAGTGTCCAGGGATCTCATTGGGAAATCCTATCCCATTCCGTAGCTGCTTCTCACTGATGTGCAAAGATCCTTAGGTCTTGTAATAGTACAGTGGAATTTTAGGACTTTCACTTTCACTTATAGCACATGCACTTGGTGGAGATAATCAGAATCACTGAACAGGGAGAACTTGGGGATCACTGTCAATTGCAGTTTTAGGTGTGTCTTGTTTGCTACTGTGTCCCTAACATCTAGCATTGTATCTAGCACATTTCTGAATTGCATGAACTAATAGATGAATGAATAAATGCAGATAGTGAAAAAATGATTCCAGGGAAGGAAAGTGGCACGTCCAAGGTCACATAATCAGGGTAGGAGAAGCATCAGAGACCACTCTCTTCCCTGCTGGTTCTGTGCCATTTTCTTCCAGCCCTTTCAGATGAGCTCTTTATTATAACGAAGGAGAGAAGAATGAATTTCTCTACCGAGTGGCTCTGGAGCTGTTGGTGAAGTTCGGTGGGGGTGATGTAAAGCTATCCTTTTACAGCAATAAGGATTCCTGTGGCTCAGATCTGTTTACAGTCACATGGAACTACTTAATGCCTACTTGATCGCATTGCACTATTTTAAGTGAAGATTCTGCACAATCTCCTTTTCTTTTGAAGTTCACAATATCTGCATATGCTTCCTCCTACCCTTCTGTTTACCAACACTCTTGACTGCTCATGTCTCCCACACACTCAAACTCCAGCCTCTGCTCTAGTTATTTCAGGATTCACCACTCTGCCTCATTCTTTTCTGATTTTGACAGTTCTATCAATATTTATCTTAATTCCATTCAGCCCACTGTTATAACCAGAGTCCTGCCAACACCCAAAGTGGCTTTACCTTTGAAGATATCAATATCCTACTCTCTGACAACAGTTCCCAATAATTCAAGCTACCTCACTCTCGTACTCTCCCGATATCCCCTTTCTTTGACTTTATTGAGACATCCAGCTCCTACATTTCTCCATTTTCCTCCAGGTTACCCGTCTTCTGCTAGCCTCTCTTTCTTTCATCCTTATCTGGATCCCCTGCCCATCGATGATTTCCTCTCACCTCTCAGCTCCCTCACACTTCTTTCGCCTTTTGCACCAATATCTACAGACTCTCAGCCTGGTGTCAGTCCTACCAATTTGCTTTTCTGTTGCTTTGCCCAAGTCTAGTTGGAGATTTATCTCCATTTATCTGTCTTTCATTGGTGTTTGGTCAGACCTATTTCCCCATTTCTCTTAGTGGCTCCTTCTACTCCACCAAGAAACTCAGAAACTCCTTGGCTTCCTTTGGGCCCCTCTCACGTCAACTTCCCTACATCTCAACCAAATCTCGGAGGAAGAGAAAGCCTGCATTTATTTAGGAAAATCCAATGCTCAATACTCACACCCCAACTTTCTAGGATTCTGCTGTTGTTGTTCCTTCTTACATCCTCAATGTCTCTCAACATCTCCATCCTGATCACTTCCTTTTCCTCAGCCTATGAACATGCTCAAGTCTCTTTTATCTTTAAAGAATTCTACCTAATTTCTTGATTTTCTCTCATTGCTACGACCCTATTGGCTAAACTTTTGCAGTCTGTGTCAACTTTCTTCCTGCATGGCTATGTTAACCTCTTGCAGTTTCCTTCGTACTTCTCCTAACTCCACTGAAGACCTCTTCGTTGCTAAATTTAATGGACATTTCTTGGTTCTGAGCTTCGTCTGTTAAAGGCACTTGACCCTATCATCTGGTCTCTATGCTTTAAAACTCTTGGTTCCCTTGACTTTTGTGACAGCGACTCCTTATTCTTCTGCTTTCCTTTTACTCACTCCTCTCCCTGGCCCTCACATGAGTGCTGGTTCTCCTTGGGAGTCTGTCCTCCACCCCCTTCATTCTCAGTACTTGCCTTCTTTTCTTCTCCACTCTTAGGGTTAAGCCTGGCTTTAGACCCAGAGGTCTCAGAGGGTGACTTGTCGAAGTCCCTTTACCAGAATCCCCAGGGCTCTTGTTTTGAAAGAATAGATTCCTAGAAGTGATAATTTGAAAAAAAAAAAACAAAAATCACAAAGTTTATGGTGTTACTTTCCAGCATCACAGTCTTCATGTACTTCTAAGAAATCTCTAGGCGGACTGTGACTTGTCCACGATACATTGAACTTGCCATATCCAAAATCAAACACCCAATTCCTGCCCAGTCAAGAAAGCTCTTGCTTTTATAGTCCTTATTTTGGTTAATAAGCCACCATTCACCCTGTCTTTCTGGTGGT